AGACTGTGTGGGAAAGGATTTCTTGCTTTCCCCTGTCACCAGACCCAGACACCACATGACTAAGTGACCAGTGACATCCCCCCCTCACACACTGAACCCGGGAAAGAGGAACTTGCAGGGACTGATTCAGAACAGGACATGCAGATTTGATGGCAGCAGAACTGCACTTGAGGGCACACTGAAGATCCCTGCTGCAGCCTTATTTTATATCCCTAGCTTTTTATTCCAGGAAGGAAAAATATGTTCCACCAGTGAAGGCACCTCCCTGCAACTCTGTGATGCCAGACCTGTAATCAAACTCAGGCTATGAAGACAATTCCTACCATCAGAGCTTGCAGACCATTTGGTAGAATCCTTTCCCAAGAATACCCACAGGGTGAGTAGCCAGGCATCACAGAAAACATCAAAACAAAATGTCCCCATTCTGAATTAAATAATGGGATTTATAAAACAATACTTCCTTACAGCTTTCAGCAAAGCAGCATCTCAAATATGGGGGCATCAAGACCCATATTCAGAATTTCTAAAAAGGTCTAGCCTAAGTGAAAGAGAAAGTGTGAAATAACACCACACTTCACCTGTCTTTCATGCTGCATTTCCTACGGGCCTGACAATGGAAAGAATCCACATGGAAGTCAAAGCATGATGTCTCCAGGATGTGAGCCAGCCATGAAAGGCTGTCAGTAGGATTTTGCTGGGAAATCTCATTTATGATTTAATTCCTAAGAGCTGCTGAGTACCACAACTTCAGTTAAGTCTGAGATGAGCTTGAGACAATTTAGCCAAATATATTATACTGGGGTTTATGCCTGGGAGGAGGTAAAAAGCAACGGGAACCAACCATGAAAGGGCATCTGGAATGCAGCTGTACCAGATGTGGAAATGGAGAACGAAGAACAACAAAATAGAAAGTGAGACTTGCACAGACTGACTAATGAACTGAAAAGACCAGCAAATAATGGCTCATGGGAAACAAACCGAGGAGGAAAAGGGATGTAGAGAAAGATGTCATTGACACTACTGTCACAGCACAGAAATCCAGAGAAAGTACAGGAAATGCAGCAAGAGACTGGTAGGGCAAGCAATAAGCTCTACCCCAAACCCAAGAAGGAATTCCAAGGCAGATTACTATGGCTAAGTAGGAAAGAGTGGCTTTAGACCTCTTAGATGTTTTGAGTCAGCTAAGCAAGGATGAAATACATTCTAACTGGGAAAAACAGCAGAGCAAACTAAGGATCACAACCCATGTCCTTAAAAATAAATGGAAAATCTGTGTGCTCTGTGCTTCTCAGCCTGGGTAAGACGTTTGGGGGTGACATCTGTGTCCAGGCTGGGTCGCTGTCCTTCAAGAAGAATGGCACCAGGCCTGAAGTGGTCCCTTTTAGCTGCTTTCCAGAATCTCATGGCTCATAATGGAAAGCAAGTCTGGATCTGGGGTGCCCTCATTACTAACCCACCACTTTTCACGGGGCTAATCGCAGCTGAGTGAAAGTATCTCCGCTCTGTTTGGGACGGAAGAGCTTTTCCTGCCAGCCATGCTCCTCCTGTGCCACCTGCTGACGGCTGTGCCACGCTGCACAAGAGTGTCCAGCCCTCACAGCTGGGACACTCCAAATAACAGGGGAGAGAGATGGGGTAGAATGCCACTCAGGGTCATGGTTTCCTCCAAAGTACATGAATACTTTCACCTTTCCATTTTTCTACCTGCTTGGGTGTGGATCCAATACAGAAAGTGTCAAACAAATGCCGGGAAAACCTCCACGACATCAGTCTTGAATTTCCGTTTAGTTCTGTGGCAGAACTGGAGGAAGCACCATACACACACAAGGCTTTAAGAGCATTCTCTCCCCGGGATCAGAAAGTGGCCAGCCTCACAGGAACATCCCCCAGATACATCCCCAAGTGCCCCTGTCAGAGCCAGGACAGTGTGACAGGAGCACACGGGTCTGGCTGAGCAGGTCCTCTGTTTCTCACTGAAGATCTCCTGTCGCCACAGTAGGTGGCACAGCTGACAGGGGCACAGAGCTCCTGTGAGACACTGCCCACCCTAACAACACCTCTGGCTGTTGCCTTTCACAGGGCTGGGAGAGGAAATACCCACCCTCCTGTTTTGGTTTCGGTTCTGAAACATGGAAAGGTGTCAGGCTTGAGGCTCCTGATCCCGGGTCAGCCAGCTGGGAATTCTGCAAAGTCATGTATGGCTTTTCCAAATACTCTCCTGCTTTTCCAATGCTGTCCCACTTGCTGAGCAAACAATGGTGCAACGGGAGCCTCATTCACAGAACACTGCTCTCCAAAGTAATGCTACATCAGGAATGACTGCAAGGACAAATCAAAGTCTTTAATTAATTAGAACCAGAATTATGACCCTGAGACTTTGAGAATTTGTTTTTCTGTCTGTCTGGTTTACAGACACCACGTTTGAGTTTGCTGATGGCTTAAAAAAAAAAAAAATCTCAGTTGCATTTTGGAGCATTTCTGTTTATCTGCTTTGGAAATCCTCTAAGGAGACAGAAGTCTCCAAGCTGTACAGGCAATGAGCACTCGAAGAACTCCTAAAGGAGAGGGGACCAAAGCCTTCAAAGGGATAAGTGACATCTGCAATGGTCCGTGCATTTGCTTCAGAAGAGGAACCTCAGCCCCCAGTGACCCTTCTCAGTTCCCCCCTCACCAGCACCTGTGCTTCCAAGTGATCAGCAATGCCGGAGTTTCACCCTTAGGGTTCACTGAGACTCTTGTTTTACAAAAACAGACAGCATATGAATCCCAAGCACCCTGAGAGGAGTTGCAGAGCAAACAACTCAGCTGCTGCCTGCACAGGCGATCGCTGTTACAGGCACGAGTAAAACCCATTACACCCCCATAAATCCATGCTGCCTCTCCAAGGGAAAGGTCCTCTGGGGACCATGAAGGACTGGGCTGGCAGCATGAGTTATTGAACTGTCCTTCCCTGCCTGGCTGTGCAGCAAGCTTGTCCCTTTGTCACAAGCTTGGTGACTCCCTCTTTTCGTAATGATCCAAATGCATTTGCAGTATCAACAATTACCATCATGGTAATCTGGGTTCTTTGCTTTAGTTTCATTTTGTGAAAATGTCTGGCACCAGAAGAAGCCTGAATGAGCATGGGGATGAATAGAAGCAGAGGAGACCTTTGCTCTACTCATTAAAGCAGCACCCTTCCTTTCATCCTGTGCATTTCTGTATCTTCAAAATGAACCTTTCCTAAAGGATTCCTGCATTCATCTCCCCCAGGCTGTGTTTGCTTGATTCCTCTTCCTTCCTATGCTGTTTTATCAAATGTGCTTAAGGAAAGAAATGTGAGGTTAACAGCTCCAAACACTACTTCTTCATCTGTGCTGAGGGCTGGCAGGGGATGCTCTTTTAGTGTAATGTTACAATAATTAATGGGTTGTGCCTGCTCTGCTGCAGGGAGGTGACAGGGAAGTCTAAATTGCAGTGCACACATAGTACTTACAGAACAGCAGCGCGTAGGTGCCCGAACTGGCAATCCCAGCTGAGCAAGATGGTGCACAGATGCAGAGCAGGAAACTGGATGTTTTGAAGGCTAGGAAAAAAAAGGCATGTAGGTAAACAGCAAAAATATCACCTACTCTGCAAAGTTTCAGTAGTTAGCACAGCCCATTACAGCCAAAGGTCTGCTCTAAGCACTGAGTCTGAGCAGCACCTTGAAGCACCAAGAGTGGTAAATGAGAGTGTACCCAGCCCTCAGTCACTGAGAAAGTACCCAGGCACATCCTGGCTCCACAGCTCTTTCCTTTCCCTGTGTTACCGAGCAGGAGATGTGAGCAGTGCATGTTCAGCCCATGCCAGGACACAGCCCAGTACCAAAATAGATATTTGAACTTAAGCACCAGCTCAGCACTTTGCTGGAGGAGAAGATTCCTCAACTACTGTGGTAAGCAAAGAAAGGGAAGATATTTAGATCATGAATTCTGTGTCTCTGTACGGCCACCCTCCTCCATGTCAGCTAGGGAGCTGCCCCACGAAGGCTGCACACTTGTGCTTCTATAAATTCAATTGACATTTACTGTCCTGCTAAGCTGAGAGAGCGCTGCTCAAACTGACGCTGAGAGATTAAGAAGTTCACACAGTGGAAATAGACTTACTGGGACATCCACTTAGCCATTCTCTTGTCTAATGAGATAGTGGGCGAAATCTCATCAGTGGGTTTTAGAGAGCCAGTCATGACCACACCTTTAGTCAGATAAAGGATTAAAAAAAGGCAGCAAACAGAACCAAGTGGAATTGCCTCCCCTCACTCCTTCCCTGGTGTTAATCTGGTTATAAACAATAAATTTTCACAGTTTGTCACTCCAGAAGTGCCAGTTCAAAATACAAAGTCCAAAGGTGCATTTGCTAAATAAGATTTGTCTGTATAACCTCTCATTTCTGAAATGTCGTTTGACATCATCACTTCAACAATAATAAAAGGAAGGTAAATTTAAATAAACATCAAATACACTCTGCATTAATGGACTCTGAAGTCCTAGTAGTCTAAAAAGCTTCCTGAGCATAATACAGAAGCCAGAAGAGCAGGGCAATTTTAAGGAATCCAGTTGTAGTCATTAGAGTATGAAGAGGTTACAAAATCAGCAGTGAACTCATCTCTATTCTCAAAGATACCAGGGCAGGACAGGATTTTCACCAGCACAAACATTAAAGTTATCAGCAAACCCCTGTAGGAGAACCTAAACCCACCAGCACTGCTAGAATTAAACCTGATGTGAGTGACCCTGCCTTGGCAGAAGGCTTGGGCTTAGACGATCTCCACAGGTCCCTTGCAACCCTAATAATTCTGAGAGAACGCAGAAGCCCGGAGTGGGCACGCGAAGAGCGGAAACTTTTTCCTGCCTGACTTTGGGAGCTCACGCCTTGCCACCGGCTCAGCGCGGCCCCGCCCGTCCCGCGGCGGCTCCTCCCCGGATCCGGAGCGCGGTTTAAAGCGGCGCCGGGGGGGCGGCCCCGGCGGGGTCCCGGTGCTGCAGCGCCCGGCCATGGCCCGAGACCGCGGCCCGCCCGTGCTGCGGCCGCCCCGCGCCGCCGCGCTGCCCGCCGAGCCCCGCGGCTGGGGCTGGCTGGGCGCGGGGCTGTGGCCGGCGCTGCTCGTGGGGCTGCTGGCCGCCATCGTCGCCTGGTTCTGGTACGGCGACAGCGACAGCGACGGACGAGCCGCGGCGGGCGGCGAGGAGGCGGCGGCCGGCAGAGGGGGACCCCGGCGGGCGAGCGCGGGGGCGGCGACCACAGGTAGCGGGATGGGGAGGCGATGCTGGGGGTGTCTTGGGCTGCCCGAGTCTGGAAGGACTTGGGTTTGCCGGCGCTCAGCTTAACCCGTTGACGTTCTCCCTCAATGTCACTTGCAGAGGATGCTGCGGCGGGCGGGGGGCCGGGGCGGCGGGAGGTCGAGGCTGCTGCCCCGTCCGGCCCTTCGAATCCAGGAGAGGATCTGGCGGCTGTTTCAAGGGAAGAGCTTAACCATGTCCCCGGCGGTGCAGTTTGGGGCGAACCTGTGGAGCCGGAGCAGCTGATCCCGAAGCACGGTGTCATGGACCCGGGGGAGCATCCAGCGGATACGGCCGGCAGCCAGGCAGGCGAACTGGAAGCCCAGGTGGGACAGGAAAGTGACGGATGGTGCGTGATGAACTTGGCAGCCTCTGACGATGAGTGTATGGACAGAAGTGAGGAGCAGCCGTGTCAGCCAGCTGAGAGGAGGGACTTGGACCATGAAGAGTGGGAAGTTGTTTCTGAGCACCTGGTCGAAGGGAAGGATGGCAGCATGGAAGACTCAGACAGCAAGGAATGGGAACCAGGAGACTGCTGTGACGGGGACTCAAAAGCAAAGCGAGTTGCAGCCGTGCCCCCCATGTTCCAGAACATCCACGTGGCTTTCCGTGTGCACTACGTCACCCACTCCGACGCGCAGCTCATCGGTGTCACGGGGGACCACGAGTGTCTGGGCCAGTGGCACAGCTACATCCCCCTCAAGCGTGACAAGGATGGCTTCTGGTCCGAATCCGTCAGTCTGCCCGTAGACACCAGAGTAGAGTGGAAATTTATCTTGGTGGAGAATGGCAAGGTCAGGCGCTGGGAAGAATGCGGTAACAGAACCCTAGTGACTGAACATGAAGATCAAATTGTTCATCAGTGGTGGGGATACCATTAATGGGAAGGTGGAAGCTGCTGATCTAATGGCAGACCTGCCCAGGTGAACCACCGAGCCCCTAAACCTTAGAGGGGTTCCCCTTCTTCTCTAGGAGACCCTCTCGAGTGCAGAGCTCTGGAAATCCTGTATCGAACCACATAAGCAGCAGATCTCTTTAGGAAATCTTTTGGCAACCTGAAAAATCAACTTTGAGTGCGTGCTGAAGAGACACAAGGTAGGCTAAGAAGGCATAAACAGCATTCCAAGCACCTGCCTGTCCAGGTGGATCTGGACCCTGGACTTGAGTTAGTGTTGCTTTGAGTGGGGCTATGGGATGCATCTTGGTACCCACTGCTTGGGCTTGGGAGGTGTACTGGGAGGTGTGGTTACCAACACTGTAACAGGAACTTAAGCGTTTTAATTTATGTAATGTATTAAGGAAACAATAAACATTTTCAGATTGACAGTTCATTACCAGTTGACCAGTGACCTCACTCATTTTGGTAACTTTAATCCAAGTGAGCCACTTGACCTGAAGTCTTAGTGCTAAAGAAGTGCTGAGAAGTGGTCCTCCCTCTTGGAGTAACAAAAGGTTGAACCCCAAAAATAGTTCATTCTCTACCCCCTACTGTCCAGCAATCATCTCGGCTCAAATGAAAGGCTTGGCAGGCAGCTCCACGCCTGCCGAGGGGAGAGCAAAGGTCACAAAGGACTGTCTCGGCTTAATGAATTACTTTGTCAGGGTGGGAGCAGGCTTTAAAAAAAACCTGGAATGCTGTGATGGCCAGGGAATAGGGTTCTGGCTGGAGCAGAGGTGGGGTGGCATACTGATGAGCAATACCATAGTATTGTTAGCAAATACTTGGCTTGAACTTGTAAATATTTCTTTAAGACTGAGATTTTCACCTTGAATTTATTTTTAAGTTGTGGCCTTCTAGTAAGCCAGATGAAGTAGAATACTTCCAGCTTCAGCTAGTTGGTATCTTTATGTGATAGGAGCAGAAAGCTGCTCTGCTTCCCTGCCTTTGAATTTTTGGGTAAAAATACATGCTGCAACTTGAGCAAGCTCCTCTTTCCACAATGCTGAACCAAGCTCTGGCCTGCAGACAGCCCTTCCCTTGAGCAAGCTTGGTCTGGGAGAGCAGAGTTGTCTAGATCTGCAAGTATATAAATTAGCACTTTGGTTTGGAAAAGGTACTTCAAAAAGCAGATCACTAAATACCTCTGCTAATTCCTTCCTGCTCTGTGTGGTGGAGCAGCCTGGATGTGTGAAACAGAATGGCTTTGGTGAAAGACTGGGAGATGAACTTCAGAGCTGACCTCCTGCATCTGGTGGGTTAATGGGCATCCAGTTGGTGGGACAGTGCTAGAGCTGCTGGGAAGAACAAGTGTTAGCAATGTTCTTTCCAGGACTTTGATACCAGCTGTTCAATGAGAGCGGGTTGGGCTGCCTGTCCTGCAGACCTGGCCACAAAATAGCTCAAGGAACTCCAGGGAGGGTAGTGAGGGGAGGGTGAGGAGGGAGAGAGACTTAGGCCAATTCCAACTGGCAATCTGGAATTTTCATTTTTATCCAGTAGAACAACCTTAGCTGCATTCTTAGCACTTGGCTTTTCTAACAAGAAACAGAAGTGGATACTGTAAGGTAATATTCAGCAGCAATAGAAGGTGATTTTCAGAAATCCCTGCAGTCAAAGCTGCCACCTGAGCATATTTATACACACGCCTGAGGCTTGTCTGAGGAGATTACCTGTGCTATTAGATTAAGTTATTCACTAGAAAGCTACTTAACCTATGCTAGAATAGATTCTCTAATGCAATGGTGAACATGTCAGACCAACCCCAAAAAGTCTTTTAAATTGAGAACAATTTATTTTTTTAATTAAGCACTCTGATCCCACAGACAACTCACAGTCCTCATGATTGTATCACCTGGCTGAATTATCAGCTAGGCTTTCTACAAAGACCTGCACTGAGCTTTTGCTAAACAAAGCCTCTAAATTATTATGCCATTCCCAGCAGGATCTATGCTATGTAAATTAAATAGCTTGGGTATGGTGAAAGAAAGAAATCTGGATTTCAATTTTTCTGGAGGACCTATTAGTGCTTTCTTCAAGTTTACAGGTGTCTTTACTCATTATTGAACTCTATTTCCTCAAAGGTAAAAGCAGATTTAAACAAAGTTGTCTTGCTGCATAAAAACAATGCTGCTGGAATGGCTGATATGTGTCTAATATAATGTCCTGGCTGTGAGACCAGTGCAGCTACATGTGAGAAACAACTTATTGTTGACATTCCTGTGTGGATCTAACAGGCAGTGGCTCAGGACATCTCCAAGCAAACAATAAACTGTCTCACTCACAGATTGGCAAAACCTGCAACTACAGAGCTACCTTTAAAGTTCACCTGCTTGTACCCCTGAGAGCCAACTTCTGTCAAATTAGACAATTTGGTTACTTTTATGTGAAACACAAACTATTTCTTTTTGTCAAGTAGTTTGGTGCACAAATGCTGAATGCTGCAGCTAGATGGTGAGCTGTGCAAGCAACCCGAGGGGACTGGGCATAAGCCATTTTAAAGTCTCCTGCAAAAAACCTTCACTGCAGCTATTTTGCTTTGCAAAAGCCATGTCCATCCCACATTGTCTCTGGGAATTGAACTCACCCTTTGGGGTCTCTCCACGTATTAGTCTGCTGTTAGGTTTTCTCTCCTGGGGGTTGGTTGCCATCTGTGGTGTCCTTGCTGTGGGCAAGCTTGGCCTAACAATCCTGCTGTGCCATCCACCTGCATGACATGGAATAACAAGAGCTGTTGGGGCTGCATGTATTCAGCTGCTTTAAGGCTCATGTGTCTATGAGCCTGTTCCTTGCTGGCTGCTGGTGGCACAGAGGGGAAGCCCAGACCTGTGCCCAGCTCTGCTGGATGCCAGCAAAAGGATGTTAAGCTGCTGTTTTGGGCTGGCAGATGTCCCTCCCTTGTCTCTGGCTGTCTGACCCCTCCACCTGCTCCCTGCCTTTGGCACACAGCTGCAGCTTCTTTTAGCTTGGCTCCTTGAATTCAACTGGGAGTGCACTTAGCAGTGCCCTTTCCCAACGGTTCTTATTCTCTACACCTGAGTCTCCCCCTAAGAAAATTTTGGAGTATTTGTCCAATATTTGTGGCAAGTCCCAACTGTGATACATGTGCCATCTAAACAATCCTTTCATTTTCAATGCAACCAATTTCTAGGAAAGGGGAGATGAGCTTGCTAATACTTTGACTGAGTGTGCAACACTGTTGCAAAAAGTATCAGAAACTGCCAAAAAAACCCCAAAACTATTAGGAAAACTAAAAAAAAATTCCTCCAATTAAAACACTGTCGGCAGTTCCTGAGGACAGCTTAAGAAGGACTCAGTAATTTCTACTCCCCACACAAGACTAAAACTAAAGTTTGATGAGTCCATTCTCCTTAAAAGAATCATGGTACAATATGGAATTCAAACTTGAACAGGAAGAATTTAGCTTAGACATAGGGGAGAAATTTTTCCCTGTGAGGGTGGGGAGGCCCTGGCACGGAGTGCCCAGAGAAGCTGTGGCTGCTCCATCCCTGGAAGTGGCCAAGGCTGCTTTGGACAGGTCTTTGAGCAACCTGGGATAGTAGAAGGTGTCCCTGCCCATGGCAAGGGGCTGGGATGAGATTATCCTTAAGGTCCCTTTCTACTCTCTATTTCCTGCTCATTTAAAACAAGAGCTATAAACAAGAGTTTAAAAATTGTAAGGACTTTTATTATTAATCTTTAAAAACATAACATATTGTAAACACAATGTACCTACATGAAAGTGATCACTAATACATGCAGTGCCTTCACTTGGACAGCTTTCTCTCCTTTTTCTTGGATTTCTTTGTCTTCACCTCCTGAGTTCTGATCACTGGAGACATGACTGAAAAGAGCAGAAGAACAGATTAGCTGAACACCACTTTATGTTCCAAAGGCTGAGGTCTCAGGTGCAGCCAGCTGAAGCTTCACAAAGCCCTCCCATAACAAGTTATGCTGTACCTACAAGCCCTTACAAATGCAGCTTCAGTTTGCAATTCTTTATGTGACTACAGAAAAACCACTGAGGATATTAATGGATAGCAAAGAACAAAAATGAGAATACTTACCTTTGATTTATTTATATAAATAACTTGGTTAGTTTTACCTACATCAGGTCACTTCTATGCCCCTGACACAAATACACTATTTGATGAGAAGAAATAATATTTTCTTAAATCTGTGCAGAGACTTAAAGAAATAAAGGGAATATGCAATAAGATAAAGTGCAGAGAATTAAACCCCATCTCATTTGGCATCCTGCCATGCCAGGAGCTCATGCACCTATGTGTTGGAAATCTTGCAGTTTCCATGAAAGTGTGATCAGCTTGTCAAAAATTCCCTGTAACTGGCTGTGACAGCACATGAGAACACCCCTGAGCAGCTGCCATGTTTGACATATTAAGGACCCTGAGGCTTATTAGAATTAAGGGGCATTGTGGAGTTAATCTAATTACTCTCCCAGGAGCAGGATAATGTACAAGTGGCTACTGCAAGTAAAACTAGTGTGTGCTGGTAAAAGCACAGGTAGTGCTTTGGCAGGTACCAAGAACAGTTTCTGGAGAGTGTGTTGTTTTTTTCAGTGAAACAGGAATATTTTTGGTAAATATTGGCACCTTGGTTTTTTTATGTGTAATGATTCCACCAGGTTTTGCAGGCTTTCCATCTCACCCTGTAGCCTCTTTGGTGTGGGCTCACTAGTTTCCATGGGCTGAGAAGCTAGAGAAAAAGGTAATAATATTATCATCAGTAATAATTAAAAAGGCCACTATAAATTATCTAAACATACCCTTGAAACTGAAGTTCTTACGAAATAAAATCTAGACCAACATTTTCAGTAAACCCCAGAACTCAACTAAATGTGTTACAGGAACCACAACAGCTATTACAAACATTTTCCTAGGAGATGTCCCAGCAAAGAGCAGTGAGCACACGCCTGAGGAGGAACCCCCATGCAAGCAGGAGACTAAAGCCTCCTTTCAAAACAAGCTTGTTCCTCTTGAAGTCATTGGCATGTCAGAATGGCTTTTGTTCTGCTCTCTATTCCTTGTTTACTGACCAAACAGGGAATATTGTGGCAACTCACAACCCAAGACTCTCTGCCCATTACAAACTCAACTACTTCTCAAGTCTTCTACATGAACTCCAACTTGTAGCTCCTTTGGATACTAGGAAAATCCCTGGATGCTACAGGTGGTTTGTTAGAAGGCAGTCAGTAACTACCCAGGAGATTTTCTTGAATACTCAGAATTACCAAAAGAATACCCAAAGCAGTTACTCCTCACAAGGACCAGAGCCTACCTCCGAGGCACAGTGGCTAAAATTCTAAATAGACAACAATATCAGTGTCTGCAGGCAATTTTCACAGAATGGATAATCTATGGGCAAGAAAAGAAA